TGGCGGGAGAGAGCTGGGTCGCGGACTTTCGGGACCACGAGCTCCGCGATCCTTGTCCCTGGGTCTTGGGTTGCCGAGAGAGTGGCGCAACGGTTTGCCACCATTTGGCAGACGCGGCGGGGGTCGAATTCACCGCGGTGGAGGATGGTCGGGGGGAGGCGCTGCGTTGGCGTCGTGCCCGCACCTCGACTCCATCAGCATCCTCGGCGAGCAGGTCGGCTCCAAGCTTGGCCCCGCACTACGTTCGCGCCACGCATTGGCAACGTTTGGGCTGTCATCGCTGGCCTTTCGTGCGCCGATGCTCATCGAGGCAGCGGCGCGGGATCCGCCCGTTGCTGACGCGGCGGTTCCCCAATTTGCTGCCGCGAAGACGGATCATATTCACAGGCATTTCTCAGGCGAGCCGGCGCGCCCGAACATGGCGGCGCAATTTATCGTTCAAGGCGGCGACGGCGCGCCACTCTCGGGCGGGGCGGTACTTGCCGCATGGCTAGGGCAACTACCGCTGCCCCAAGTCTGGCCCAGCTCCTCGCCCAGTTGCTGAGGAACAAAGCGCTGGGACTAAGAGCGTCAAGGGGCTGCAAAACTGTGTTGCACAACGGATATTTCAGCTGGCGGTTGCCTTGCCCTGATCGGAGCGGCCGCTTCGCGTCTCCGCGCGCGGAGCAAGCTCGGCAACGTGGCTTGCTTCGGCGCCAGGCTCGCGGCCAGATCGCGCTTGTTGAGTAGCCACGTCGCGATTCCAAAGTGGCGACGTAGGCGCATGTGCGTCGTCAGGTTTGTTTCTGCGCGTTGTTTGTTTTAGCTGAACAAAGCGTTGTCCACTTGCGTCTGCTCTGTGTAGTTGACGATGGGCGCGCCGCCGCGGCCAGTCCATCGGGGTTGTCGCGATTCAGCGGTCTCCGTCGTCGCGGTGGTTTTCGCTTCAGCGTTCCCGCCGCGGCAGAGGCATGGCGATGCGCCGTTCTTCGTGCGCAGCGTCGCTCTTGGCTCTTGCCGCGACATGTCTTGCTTTGCGCGCTCGTTTCGTCTCCATCGTTCGCCCGTTGCGGCACCTGTCCGAACCCGCAGCGGCGATCAGGGGGAATGCAGGCGGCCGAAGCGTTCCGCTGTAGGCGTATTAGCAGCCGTTGTCGCTTTTCGGCGGGAAGGATTGTTCGCCACAGTTGCCTGACATTGGTTTTGGTCTTGGCGGCGGCGCCGTTTTGTCATATGCCGTTTTGTCCTCCCTCCTCTCATTCTCCCCTCCCGATCCCCTCCCTCCTCCTCCTCTTCACCCTCCCCTCCTCCCCCCTTCCCTCCTCCCCCCCCCCCCCCCCATCCCCCATCCCCCCTTTCCCCCCCCCCCCTCCTCCTCCTCTATCCTTTTGCATCGGGGGCATATCCGCCGTATTCGAAAGTGCGTTCTGTGTGTGGCATCTCTGTGCCATCCGTTGTGAGGTCGGGTTGTCTTCGCCTCTTAGAATTCCGCCGAGCCTTCGTTCCCCCCCCCCGCGCTCTGCTCCCCTCCGCCTCCTCCACCACTGGCATTTTTTCATTTCGAGGCCGCGTTGCAAAGTCCGCAAGGACGGCGCGTCGGCGCGTTCGCCCTACTCGGGATATGCAACGCGTACAACCCCTACTTCATGACCCGCACGGCCAGGAGTGGTCTGGCGCACTGGACGGGTCATGCCACGGGGTAGATTAACCCGAGGGGCGACGTGCGCGAAGAAGGAGGCAAGTGACGAGGGCTGTCGCGGACGATTGGGCCATTGCCCTCCATGGTGGGCACGTCCTCCAGCGTGGCGAGGGGGGTAAAGCCCCTGCCGCGGAGGCCGCCGACGCCGCTTTTTGAGGATGCCGCGGGCGGCGGGTTCGGCCGCCCATGGCACCCGCGGGCGTGCAGCGACGAGATCGCGGTCGGCGCGCTTCCAGGAGTTCCAGAACCCTGGCTCTACCGCAAGGGGCAGCGCTCGGCGATTTTGCGTCGATTTCACACGAGTTTGCAGCTTTGGCCGCGGCCGCCAGGAGGTGATCTATTTTTTTTGGATCTACCAGGCGTTAGCGCGGAGGCCGCGTGGACGCCCGCAGCGGAGCAGCAACGGGGTCGGGAAGCTCGTTTGCCATCTGCGGCTCCGCGCGCGCGCGGCATACTTTGTAAGGGTCGCGTTCGGTAGGGCACGCGAAGTAGGCCCATCGGGGCGAGCGAGTGGACCGTCGACGACCGCGTGGTTTGCAAATATAAGAAGTTCGGTTGGGATTGTTGTTGTTTGATTGTGATGGCCGCGACTGCGGCCCGCGCTGCTCGTCGCCATTCTTCCAAGTTTCATTCAAGACCACGGGGTTGCGTCATCCCCAACGCAACGGTTCCGCGAGAAGGTGGGACACCTGAGCTTCGATTTCGGGATCCTTTACCGCTCGAGGTATTCTCGCGGTTGCTGCGGCGCTTCGACGCGTGCTGGCCTGGCTTTGGCGCAACGAAGGCAACGCCAGGAACTTGTCATTCCGCTTCAGCGGCATCCTCCTTCAGCAGGTGCCATCGTTGGCAGGCTCCCCCGCTACTACTAAAGGTCCCCTTGCTGTCAGACCTGGAGATCCTACAATGGTGGTGGGACACGCCCCCGTTGAAGGCGATATTCCTGGAGATGTCGAACCACCAGGACTTCGGGGACGGGCCAGCGGTGCCTGACTGCGGCTTGCAGATCAGCGCAAGCGGCGCAGTGGCGCTTTTCAGATTCGCATCGTGCGCGCGTTCATTTTCTTGGGGTGGTGTGGTGAGGGGCGTAGGTAAGGATGCGGGCTGTCTTCGCTCTCCTCCGTCCTTGTCATTTTATTTTCCGCATCGAGGAATGGTTCTGCGTGGCCGAGTCTTTGGTTTGTGAGTTCATAGGCAAGGGGGCGGTGGCCATGGGGGAAGTCGGGGAGCGGGGGGGCGGTGGTATCGGAAGCGCGCGCGTTGGGCGCTCGAGCGGCGCATGTGCGTTTGGCTGGACTGTGGAAGGCGTTGCATTTTCACTGGGAATTGAGCGCGGGAGTGTAGAGGAAACGCGGGCTTGCAAGGCGCAGCGTTGTCATGGCGAAACTAGCAAGGGTGCGCCGTTCGAGGGGGTTCGGCGCGGTTGAGGGGGCGGCGTCGGGGACGCGGGCTCTGTGAAGGTAGTGTCATCATCCAGTCGTTTCCGAACTCGCAGCATGTCGTGCCCCCCCCCCCCCCCCTCTCGCCGTCGCGTGCGCTCTCGCGCAGACTTTTTTCCTAGTTCGAACGTCCGCGCGAGTCGGCGTTTCTCCTCTTCTGGTTTTCTTATGCTTGGTCACGTTTCCAACGCCGTGCGTTTTTTTTTTTTTTTTTTTTTTTTTTTTTTTTTTTTTTTTTTTTTTTTTTTTTTTTTTTTTTTTTTTTTTTTTTTTTTTCCTCCTCCCTCCTCTCTTCTTTTCATGCCGAGACTCGAAGGCTCCTCCAGGACAGGTTTTCGGTCGGTCAGGCTTATTGATGACTGGCATACTTGTGCACGGGTTGCATGGCGATTTTCTAAGGCCCCAAGGGACGAAACGTCGTCGTCGCAATCGGTCGCTGTCGGTCGTCGACGCGCGCCCTCGCGGAAGCGCCGCGTCTCGTTCCCGTGGGTTTTCCAGCCGTGGTGATGAAGCAACTGAACTGTTGGAAGCGCAGTGGTTTTTCAGTTGTTGTTTCCGTGTCGCATGCGTATGCGACAAAGTCTTTCCCCCCTCCCCCCTTCGTCTCTCCCGAATGTTGTGTTCGCGCAGTAGCAATGGCAGTGTTCGTGTTGTTGATTTACATGGAAAATCATTCCATGTCAAGGGGTACTGTTTCGCCTTTTTTTTTTTTTTTTTTTTTTTTTTTTTTTTTTTTTTTTTTTTTTTTTTTTTTTTTTTTTTTTTTTTTTTTTTTTTTTTTTTTTTTTTTTTCTTTTTTTTTTTTTTTTTTTGTTTTTTCTTTTTTTTTCTTTTCAACGCTGTTTGCTGGCCTCATCGGGTTTCCTGTTGTTGCGCGTTTACGGTTTCGCTCGTGCAGAGTTGTGGCGTTCGCGAATCGGTTGGCTTGCGTGTTGCGTGCGTTGCGTGCTGTTAATTCGGGCGTGCTGTGTGTGATGTTGCGTTTCCTCGTACAAGTGTGTACCCGTGGTAGTGTTATGGTACAGGTGGTATGTAGCATTTAGGCACTTAGCGCTTGTGTTCTTTCTTCTTTGTTCTATGCAATGTAGGTATTATGTCTGTATGTAAGTCGTGTATGTCTGTGTGTAAGTTGTGTAGGAAGTTCTTTATGGTGTATGAAGGTAGATATGCTTGTATGTCTGTCTGTCTGTCTGTCTGTCTGTATGTATGTTTGTATGTACGTAGATATGTCGGTATGTTCGGTTTATCGTTAATGTATGTCTGTGTGTGTGTGTCTGTCGTATGTCTGTATGTACGTGGTGTATGATGTCTTCTATGGTTGGTATATGAAGTATGTCTGTCGTGTGTGCATGTAGTATACGCATGGGTGTGGTGCATGTTCGCGTATTAGTACACATGGTGTTATGTAGTCGTTCAGTGATGTAGTATGTCGCAGGTAATTGGTAATAGTTTAAGCTGTACCCCTCACACGCATGTCATGTTATTACATGTTCTCATTCCCTGGCCCCAAGGTCTTTGGAAGCAATTGGATCCTCTACAAAAGGGGTTTCTGGGCCTCCTGTTTCTTGATGTGATTCACTTGTCCCAGAGTCCAAGAGGATGTTAGCCATCGCGTTGCCGAGAAGAAGAAGGATAAGGGGCAGAAGCTGCGCCAGAACTGCCAGCAGAGTCCTGACGCTGCCGGAGACGACGGTCTTGGTGATTCTGTTTTACACCTGGGGTCTCAGCCTCAGCCACCAGCGACGCTGGTGAACTTCCAGCACCATGGCATGGGTGCCATGACCTCGGCTCGCTCCTGCGCTGGCGGCGGCGGTGGGGGTGGCGGCGGCGGCGGCCACTCGCCGCCGCCTTCTGTATCGGACCCCAGCGGCACGCCGAACACCAAGGGGAAGCAGGCCATAGCCGATTGGTACATTCTCAACTTGCCGCTGACGGCTTCGCTTCAGGGCCAGAATCTTGGGCGCACCAGTGTCCCCGCGCAGAGGTTGTGCGAGAAGTGGGGGCAGGCAGGAGATCCCGAGTCCATGAGCGCATCTGCCATCTTGCGCGACCACCTGTCTGCCTGCGACGCGGCCTCCAAGCTGCGCAGCCAGGCCCACGCGATCGAGAAGACCGAGATGCACAAGTACATGAGGACCTTGACGGAGAAGCGTACGGACTGGCCCACGAACATAAAGCTCGAACTCGTCAAGCGCAGCATCAAGGAGAAGCGCGAGGCAGGCGACTTGGACGGGGTCTTGGTTGCATCGTCTCCTTGGCGTTATTCGGACTCGGACGCCGAGTGCGAATGGGACCCCTTCAAGCCTACCGTGTCAGCTGTTGAGGGCAGCATCGCAGGGGAGCCCAGCAACTTCGCTCACATGCTCGTCGACGAGACGCTGGTCCCGCTTTCCCGCGAGGCTTAGGGGAGAAGCCATGTGGTGTTTGGTGTGTGTAAAACTGCGCTGCAACGGTTCGACCTCATCGGTGAAGACATCGACGAGGGATACGGAGAAGTCACCGGCACCCTGATGCACATTTTCAAGGCGTTGGTGGCCTTCATCGTCCCTGAGCCTGGGTATCTCAACTGTTCCGATGCCAACGTGGACGTTCTATTCATCCATGCCTTGGTGGAGCCGATGCGCAAGACCCAGCCGTGGGCACGCGCGCTGGCAACAGTTGTCAAGTCGACGCCCTACTGGAAGGATCTGCTGAACGACTTCAGGACCACGCGTGAAGCTACCCTGATTGAGTGGCCCAAGCTCGTAAGCCTCATGGATCAGTTCGCGAAGAGGGAAGACGTGCCGACTGAGACGGTCACGTGGGTGCTGGACAACTACACGACATGGTTGGGCACTTTGCGCCACAATCTAATGCCGAAGTTCGAGACGATCCTCATCTACCGCCTGGGGAACATCTCACTTGACGTGGGGGAGGCGAAGAAGTCTGGCGATCGTGAGCGGTTCAGGGTCGGGGTCCAGGATCGTCGCAACGCCATGGTGCAGGTCGCCGAGCTCCTTGGACACAAAGCAGCGTTTCGCAACTGTGTCACAACCTTCGACGAGTGGATCGCCACCGATGGCGCGCACTCGGCCTACCACCAGCTTGAGTTGAGCCTCGTGACGATCGCGGACTCCCAGGACATGTCGTGGGCCGCCGCACAGGACTGCGGTTTGCTGTGAGGCTGCTCCTGCTCCTCCTCCACATCTTCCTTCTCCTCCTCCTCCTCCTCTTCCCGTGCCCTCCTCTCCTCCTCCTCCCACGCTCTCCTGCCTCTCCATCTCCTTCTCACCTCGCTTCTCCTCCCCTTGTCCTTCCCCACCTCCTCTTCCTCCCCCCCCTCCTCCCCTCCTCCTCCTCAACGTCCCCCCCATCGCCCTCGTTTCAGGTTGCAGGGGGTCTCTCTTCGCGTCTCTCTTTCGCCCTCTCTTTCGCGTCCTCCTTAGCTTTTTGCCCTCTCTCTCCTCCCCTCGCGTCTCTCCTTCGCCCTCTCTCTCGAAGTCCTCCTTTCCCGCGCCTCTATCCTCTCCTCGTTCTCCTTCTCCTAGCGTGGGCCTCTATCCTCTCCTCGTTCTCCTCTCATCGTTCTCCCTTCCTCTATCTCCTCTATCTCCTCCTCTCTCTCCTCTGTCCTGTCCTCGTTCCCCTTTCCTGGGCCTCGATCCTCTCCTCCATGGGTCCTGGGCCCTGGGTCCTTGCATGGGTCCTGGGTCCTTCCTGGGTCCTGGGTCCTTCCATGGGCGTCTTCCTCCTCCTCCATCTCTCTCCTCCTCGTCCTAATTCCCCTTAGGACAATATGGAGACCGTGGTGGGCGCGCTGGGCCGCGTCGAAGGCCGCCACGAGAAGGAGGAGGTCCTCAATCGGCTGTCGCCGAGGGCCGTGCCAGCTCTCAGGAAGGTCTTGGGGGCCCTCTTGACCATGACTACTACTCCGATTTCGGCATCCATGAGGAAGCTTGCCGGCCTCGCCATGCCGTGGTGCAATGGCTGCGACGACGAGAAGCGCAATATCAAGATGTGCGTGAACGTCGCTGACCTCGCGAAGCTGCTCTGCGACGTGGCGGGCTCTGCGGGCGACGGCCAGCCTACCACTCCAGCCCCGATCAACAAGGCGGATGCGCTTGCCTGGCACGTTCAGTGCGCTGCCGTCCTGGAGAAGGCCTTTCCAGAGAACGCGGAGACAGGCAACTTGAAGCTGGCGGTGGACAAGGCGAAGGACAAGCTCTCCGATATTTTTTGGGGCGAGCTGAGCCAGGTCAAGGAGATGCTGGTGAATGCGACGGGCTCCGTCCAGCAGCAGCTCAGCGCCAACGAGATGCTGAAGTCTGGCCAGAGGGCTTCACGGGATCATCTTGGAAGGACTTCGTGGAGTTCGTGACGCCGATCTTCGCTGATCTGCAGGGCGACGCCCTCGCCAAGAGCCTGTCGGACATGTACGTTGCCATGTGCAGGGCGAACGTGCTCCAGTCGCAGTGGCAGGGTCCCATGAAGCCAGAGCAGCTGCCAGAGCTCACTGATGCCAAGGCCACCTTCGTGAAGGGCCACTGCGCGAAGGTGGAGGGCTTCTGTCTGCACCTCCTCGTGGACTCAGATGCCAATCCAATAAGCATCAGAAAGCGCTTCCCCAGCGCCATGCGCGAGTCGCAGGAGGAGCTCGCAGGTGGCATCGAGGGCTTCAAGATGACGAGCAGCCTCCTGCACCCGATGATCCAGAAGCAGCTCGAGCAGAAGTCGAGCTTCAGTGGCGCTGCCAGCGGCAGCGCCAAGGCGAAGGCCAAGGCCGCTGCGGCCCCAGCCTGAAGCGGCGGTTGCCGCGCCTGGACCGCGGGGCCGACCGCGGCAGGCTAGACCAGAAGAACATGAATTCTGTTGCGGGTGTGTTTGCTCTATCCTCTTCTTTGTGTTGTTGTCGTTGCTTTGTTTATTCCCGTATGGCTTCCGCCATGTCTGACCCCCGCCGCCGAAGCTTTATCCCGGACGAGGCCGTCGAGGATCCAAGATAGCCCGAGAAGCTTCCGAGACGATCCAGAGGCTCTCTGAGAGGGCCCCGAGACGGCCATACCATACCCCATGTATAGTTCGAGCAGGCCCTAAACATATGTCAGGTTTAAGGTTGTGGCAGATACGTTATTATATCGCAGCATAATATATCCAGAAGCGTAAGAGAGCACCCAGAGGGCCCATAGTAAGTACGAAAACTTCCTCAATCCCCTCATCCTTGAATTCTGACCTGTCCGATCCAGCCGCCCCTTCTATCATCTCCTCCCCGTTTTCCTTCCTGGCCTTGGGTTTCCTGAGCATCTCGACTGGTTCCCGAACTTGAGGTTGAAGCACTGTTTAACCTGTTGGAGTGTGTATGTCCTGAACATGACATGTGCGCTGCGCGTTCGCGGCAGCCGATTCTCCGAGAGCCCCAGAACAAACTAAAGTTGCGTCAACATCGGGCGCAACCCCGCCACGTGTTTCCTTACCCCCTGTTTCCTATTCACCCGCGCTGATTGCAGTCGTCGCTGGCTATTTTTTTCATGTTTTCCTAATTCCCAAACCTATTCTGGTCCTATCCTGGTGGATTGTTTTCCGACTTCCTGACGTGGCCCTCTGTGACGGCAGTGCCCGCCACAATTCCAGAACGTGATCCGCAAGCTGAGGAAGGGCAAGGCAGCTGGGCCTGACGACGTTCTCCTTGATTTTTGGAAGGTTTTGTCTTACGACGAAGCGGCCAGCGACATACTCTTCCACATTTGTCAATAATGCTGGGCGCAAAAAGCAATCCCTGAATCTAGGAAGAGAGCAAACGTTGTGCTGCTTTTCAAAAAGGGTAACGCCGCTGTGCCAGATAACTACATACCAATATCGCCATTGCCCGTGGGGCACAAGGAACTGGCATCGATGCTGCACAACCGTTTGGTTCAAGGAGGTACAGAAACACGAATAAGAGACTCGCAATTTGGTCTCCGGCCGCGCCGCGGCAGAGGCGACGCTCTCACGCTAACGCGCCGGATGGTCGATGCGGCCCACCTGCACGTCAATGGTGGTCTGATTTTTTACTTTTGTTGGATTGGGCGAAAGCCATATATATATGAAGACTAGACTGTATGTGTGATGCCCTCCGACGTTTCGGCCTGCCAAGTGGTATGGTGGAAATGGTGCGCTCGATCTATTCCGCAAGACTTTCACAATCGGAGATCATGCAGGCCGCTCTTTTGAACGACGACAACGTGCCGGGATCGCCCGGGGCTGCCCGCTCTCGCCGTACTTGTTCATCATCGTACAAACTGTAACGTTGCATGATGTGTATGGCACTCTTGATCAACTCCTAGTGCGTGATTCTGTGATTGCGCTGATGATGCATTGTTGGTGTCTCATCATTGTTCCAACTTGCAGCAAATTCTGGCAACAATAGCGGAGGAAGGTCGGAAGTATGGCCTGCAACTTAACTTGGGAAATACCGTACAAATACAAATTTCCACAGACGGGGCAATAACATCACCAAGTGGTGAGCACATAAAGGCAGTGAGGGATGCCATATATTTGGGTGGTCTTATTTCGTGCGATGGGAAAGTAGCAACGGAACTAAACGGGCGACTTGGGGCAGCGAGCCGTATCTCCCAGCAGTTGCCTCGGAGATCGAGCCCGACTTCACTTTGAAAGAAACGAAACAACAATATTCATTTAACTTGTGTCCTGAACAAGCTCCTGTACTCTTTAGATTCCGTTTGGCTTCTGAAGGGAGATTGTGCGCGTTTAGCCGCCTCCCACGGCAAATTCTTACGTCGTATGCTGGGCATTCGTCTGTCCTTCCGTGTGTGGGTTAGCAATGCAGTTGTGCTTCAAAAAGCATCCGCTCAACCTCTGTCTAATATTTTGCTGGCCAGGCAATTGGCTTTGGACGACAAAATTATGAACCGCCCCCGCCCGCAGTGGGCGAGTCAGGTATACAAGTTGTCCCAGCATGTGTAGCAACGGTGCTCTTTCCCTTTCCGCCCTCCCGTTTCCTCTTCTCCCTCCGCTTTGTATTCCAAGGTCGTGTTCCGATTTATTTTTTCTGCGTCACAGTCGTGTTGCGCTCGGATGCTCCGCGTCGCAGTCGTGATGCATTCCGCTTTTGCTTCACAGTCGAATCTGTGCGTGCACGCAACCGCTCTGTAATGTCTCTTCAGTCATACTTTCCTGAAGAGTTGCCAATCGCGCACTCTTCTGCCCACGCGTCCCTCCGGACGCACGGCTCAGTGGTGGTGGTGGTGGTGGCTCGTAAAGTTAGGACGCTGTCAATATAGGCATTGTTAGAATGCGTTGTGAGGACTGTCGAGCAGTTGCCGCATTCCTCAGCAAGTCGCCACGGAATGTCGAGCGGCAGTTGTCTGCTTACTTTCCCGAAGGGACTGGGCTTTTTTTTGTCGTAATTCGATCGGCCGTTTTCATACGTGACAAACAACACAACTGGCATACGTGAGCAACCGCATAGTTGCAGTAAACATGTGTTGGGCGATGTTCGAGGACAGGTCAGCGGTAACCGCTAATTTGAGCTGGCCGTGCCAGTGTTTCGCGCGGCAGCCTTGCTTTTGTTTTTTTCCCTGAGGCGGTGATGAGTTCACGTTGCAACTCGAGTGGGTAGCTGCAGATGTTGTAATGATTGTTCCTGTCATGTGCTACGTGAGTTTTGAGGAAGTTTTGATGGACAGCCGCATTCCTGAACAAGCTGTGCTTGATCCTTTTTGTTTATTGATCGCATGAAAATCCATGTGTGTTCCTATCGAATAGTGTACTTGTTTGAGTCAGTGGTCCGTCGTGTTGGTGAGCTGCGTTGCTCGCCAGCCTCGCTTCCGAGGAAAAGCAGGGGGATATCATGATGACGAGTATGACGACCACCAACACCATCATTTGGTACCCGATGATGGAAAACATGCCACAACCAGAAATGTGTCTCCATCACGTGATGATTGCGACTGAACTGCGAACGCAGGGACATTCTGCATCTTCTACTCCTTGGCCTGGGGCCACCAGCAACAAGACTGCCTCCCACTTCTTCTCGTTGGTCGCTCAATTCCACTCTGGAGTTGGTGTACCAGTGCGCCTGCGTATTCGGTCGATGAGAGTGTCAGATGTATTGTCTTCTTTTGTGAGTGTTTGTGAGATGGTCGCTTCTATTGCCGGTCCCGACGAAAGGGCAAGATACGGAGCTCAAGAGACAATGCAAACGGGGGTCAGCCACGGCACCGGATCCTGCAGGATCCTGCGAAGATCCCCTTTGGCTGCCCCGGGTTAGCGAGCCGCTCGTGGCCGCGAAACGGCCGCGCATATTGGCTGACCCGGGTTTGCGAAGACCTGCGATGCATTTTTTTTTTTTTTTTTTTTGTTTGTTTTGTTTTTTGTTGTTTTTGTTTTTTCGTTTCTCCTGCATTGCAGTTTTTTGGTTTCCTGCTGACCCGGGTCTGGATTTACACGGGTCAGAAGATCCCCGAGGGCAAGGAGAGGTTGCACAATTTGCTGAATGCAGCTGGTTTCGGCCCCGCCGCCAGCCGCCGGGCCCTTTTCTCGATGCATGGGCGCCTGCTGGCGCCAGGTGGCGGTATGAAAACCAGCCACGCGAGCTGATCCTCTACCCTACCCTCTGCC